CAATGGTAACAATGTAAATCACATGTAATAGAAAATGAAAGTTTTCCTTACCTTTCCTTTTTCCATTAATGTATTTATAAGTTGTTTTTTTGTTTTTTTTTATAAAAGGGGTCCTTCACAGAAGTTGCCAGTTTGAGTTCTAGGTGGGCTTTTGCCTCTCTAACTTTTTTTCTACATGCCCTAGCAACCCGCTTAAATGTTTCCTGAGATACCTGACCCTCCTTCCAAAAGTAATGCACCCATTTTCCCCACCTTAATTCCTTCAAAAGCTCCTTGCCCATCCAGGATGGTTGTTTTCCTCATCAACTCATCTTCTGGCACATAGGGACAGTCTGTTCCTGTGCCTTCCAGATTTCTGTTTTGAAGCATGTCCATCCTTCCTGGACTCCTTTGTTCTTAAGGACAGCTCCCCAAGGAACTCTCTGAACAAGTCTCTTGAACAGGCCAAACCCTGCCCTCCTGAAGTCCACTGTACAAGTTGATGCCTCTCCTTTTTTTGTCAATATTGAAATATTGAAAACTATAATTTCATGATCACTGTGCCCCATACAGCCTCCAACCAGCACATCTCCCACCAGCCCTTCACTGCCTGCAAACAGCAGGTCTAGTATGTCCTCCACACACTCTAAGAACCTCCTAGACTGCCTCGTCTCTGCACTATTAAGCTCCCAGCAGATGTCTGTTAGGTTAAAGTCCCCTACAAGAACAAGGGCTGGTGATTTTGAAACATTGTCCAGATGCCTGCAGCGTAAGTTATTAACCTCTTCTTCCTGGTTGGGTGGTCTATAACAGACTCCCACCAGAATGTCAGCCTTGTTAGCCTTCCCAGTGATTCTTACCCTGGGCACTCCCAAGTCCTTCTCCTCAGGACTGCTCTTGGTACATTCTCTGCCCAACCTGTATTTGTGCTTGGGATTGCCCTGACCCACATGCAAGACCCGTGTACACATATATGATCTTATATAGGGGACCTAATCCCATACTGGGAAGACAGGATAAAGCATGTGCCCACCTGTGCCGTGCCCACCTTGTTGGCTAACAAGAAATGGCTCAGTGTTTCCACAGAGACAGCACGAGTCTGGCTGGCAAGGGCTGACAGGGTTTCTTCTCTGGGTCCCTGGGAAAATCCCTGTGGCTCTCCCCTACACTCCACAGGGATGAGGGCCCAGTGTGGGGAGGGAGCCATGGCAGGTCAAAGGGCTGGGACATGGCAGGCAGTGACCCTGGTGCTGATGTGCCTCCTTGAGTTCTGCATTGCTTTTCCAGTACCCAGCATTTTCTGGCTTTCWGCCTCRCATGCTGCAGAGGAAATGCAAAGGTTGCTCTTTCCTACAGCTGGGAAGGTGTTCCYAGGCCCCAGTGCCTGGTTGCCTGTGCTGGTTGTGCTGTGCCAGCCCTCAGTCAGCTGTATCACAGCTCCAGGGTGGGCATCAGGGWCACAACATTTCCTTCCTCCCAAGTCATATCTCAGTAGAAGATACACCCCACGCAGCTCCTTCCTTTTTTAGAAAGAGTCTTGTGTACTTTGGGCTTTGCCTCTGCAGGCAAAAGGTGCAGAAAACTTTAAATTAAAGGCCCAAGTGCTTCAGARGCTATGGGTTTAAATTTCCATGTTTCCAAGAGAAAAAACATCTCATTGCCTTCAGTTGCTGAGTGAGGTTTTCCAGTCATACTGTGCTCAAGTGCAGACATACCACTCCCAGTCAGAAATGATCCTGAAAAGTCRTTCTGCTAACAGACAAGGAGAAAAYACAAATAATCAGGAGTTTGTGTGAGCAGATCAAGACAGTCAATGTTGAGCTGGCTTAGAGCTGTTTACTGCAAACTTAATTTTTCTAGGGTCTCTTCTAGGTGTTTTCCATTTAGAGGATGCACTGTTGTTTAAATTATGCCCGGCCAGTATCTTAATTGGTGGGAGTTTTTWAACTCAAGAACAGTTGTCATTACTGTGCCACTGATTTATACTTCCTCCTCAGATTTTTTCTTTTAAAATGGGTCTTCCTTCATACCTCAACAAACCTGTAGGTTTCTTGAGAGCACAAGCTTAAATCCCAGGTATAGTCCATGTAACAGCATTTGCATTTCTTTATGCTTCATCAGAAGAAATCTCCCCAAGCCCTGTGCACTTTCTGTGTCATCTAGTCTGTAATAACTRCATCTGTTAATGTTATTCTGTGGATTACCAAACGTGGGATTTGGAGCTTTAATCTAATAAAGTTTTGTTTTTGCAYGTTGCTTACTTACAGTGATAAGAAATGCTGGCACAACTAGTGWTCTCTAGCACAGAAATCTCCCCACAATTTTGAATTAAAATCTGTGATTTTGAAAGTTTATTTGAATCTATTTTTTTGCTTCAGAGTTGAGAGATACAATTTGCCCTTATTTTAACCAGTTCCTCTTTTAAAAGAGGGATTGTAACTTCTGTCCTGCGGCATTCAAAATTTCCTGCTTCTGCTCTGCCTGTTTATGGCATGTCTCACTTGCCACTCATTTTGTGTCTGGCATCAGACATCTGGAATAAACACATTCACCTTTTCCACAGTCGTTTCAATCACATTACCAATGATGACACGTGTGGGTCTACTCATATTATAAAGAAATCAAAGCCAAAGGTCTTGCAAGATAACAGAACAAGGTTTGAAGCATTTTAAATGCAATTTGCATAATGAAGGCATGTTCTAGTTTTGAATGCATTTTCTTGGCAATGGCTTTCATGAGGCTATGTTTTGATTTGACTGTAAACAGGGATTTTTCATTACTGCTGAGTAGGATTTGCACAGCGCCAAGGCCTCTTCTGCATCTCACTCCACTCCACTCCACCATTGAGCAGACTGGGGGTGCACAAGGAGTTTGGATGAGCCAYAGCAAGGACAGCTGACCCCAAATGACCAGAGCAATATCCCATACCCTATGGTATCATGCTCAACATACACGGTTGGGGAAAGAAGAAGAAAGAAGGGAAGATATTCAGAGTCATGGTGTTTGTCTTCCCAAGTACCTGTTTATGCACTTTCCTGGGGATGGCTGAACACCTGCATGCCAAAGGSAAGTGGTGAATYAATWCCTTGTTTTGCTTTGCTTGCATGAGCAGYTTTTGCTTTCCCTATTAAACTGTCTTTACCTGAAACTGTGAGTTTTCTCACTYTCACTCTTCYACTYCATTCTATAGGGGGAAGTGAGTGAGCAGCAGCATGATCTTAGTTGTCAGATGGGATTAAACCACAGCAAGGCTTCAAAGGCCTGTACACTGATCCTACAAGCTACCACTGAGCCCTCAGCTAGCTGGAGGCATGTCAGGCTTTGCTTCCATGAAACTTCTTCAGTTGTCCACAGTGATACTTCTGCCTCAATCCCAAAATGTCCCAGCACTGAAAACACYGATGACTTTGTGCATTCTCTTATCTAGGCCAAGTATTGTATTCCTCCATCTTCACCCTTCCAAGCTGAGTCCAATAGTTGAAGTAAACCCTTGGAAATAGGATCAGCACCTCTTAGTGTGCATTTCCAGCTGCCAGTTTTAAGACACAGAGATGCTCCCCATCATGCATCCCTATGTCTAGGAGGAAGTAGAAAGACTAAGGAGTATTRGGGAAAGYGAAAGGGAAATAGGCTGGTGGAGTTTCACCCCTGAGAGAAGCAGGAGATTGCCATGCTTTCTACCATCAGGCAGAAGAATGAGACCTAGTTGAGGAAGTGGAAATGGGTCCCTCCTCTGGGRGGTAATAAAAATTCTGCCTGAGCCCCATCATCTACCCAGRTGCCACTTCAGAATAGGTATGAGGCCCTGGATCCAGAGGGACAGCCAGATGACATGGAAGGAAACAATCTGCTTGGAGAGCCTCCTAATTATGCTTCATCTGTCACATGGATCACTATCTCTAAAAAGAAGAAAGGGTAGTCATAGTAGGTGACTCCCTTCTGAGGGGAACAGAGGGCCCCATATGTCGACTGGACCTATCCCATAGGGMGGTCTGGTGCCTCCCTGGAGCCTGGGTACAGGATGTCACAAGGAGACTCCCTGGGCTGATTCAGCCCTGATTAGTACCCACTACTGACATTCCAGACTGGCAGTGATGAGATTGAAAAAAAAGAGCATCAGGATAATTAAAAGGGCACTTAATTAAATTCAGCACTCTGGGGAAAGTGGTTGATGGGGAAGGAACACAGGTGGTGTTCTGCTCAGTCTCTTCAGTGACAGAGACAAATGATGAACAGGAGAACCCATGTTATCAATAAATGACTTAAAGGCTAGTGTCACTGGCAGAATTTTTGGTTCTTTGATCACGGGGCGACTTTCAAAGCACTTGGCCTGCTGGAGTCAGATGGGCTCCATCTATCAGTGAAGGGRAAAAGGATTCTAGGCCACGAATTGGCAGAACTCATTGACAGGGCTTCAAACTAGGTTTGAAGGGGGAAGGGGATGCAAGGGGATCCAGAAACAAGGCCAAGGGTGGTAAGGGTGTTCAGGAGTAACATCAGCAGCCCAGTTGAGGCACATGGACACTGATGTCCGCAGCATGGGTAACAAACAAGAGGATCTGGAGGCCACGGGACAGCAGCAAAGCTATAATGTAGTTGCCATTACAGACAATGGCAGTAGTGCATTGCATGGCTACAAGCTCTTCAGAAGAGACAGGAGAGGGGGAGGAGGTGGAGGGATGGCTCTTTATATTGGGAAAGTTTTTGACGTCATGGAAATTGAAACGAATGACAATAAAGTTGGGTATTGGTTGACATGAAGCTCAATGTGACCCAGCAGTGCGCGCTCACAGTCCAGAATGCCACCCTGCCCTGGGCTGCGTCCATGGTAGCGGTTTGGAATCAGATGATATCGAAGGCCCCTTCCAAGCCAAACCATCCTGTGGTTATACGAAATGCGTCGGTATATATAAATAAACGTGCACCGCGGCTTTTGCACAGCACTCCAACCCCACGGCGGGCTCGGCGCAGGCGCGGGCGGCGCGGGCTGTCCCTCGCAGGCCGCCGTCKCGTCACGTGAGCGGTGTCACATGACGGCGGCAGCGGCGGGGCCGTCGGTGCGCGGTGCTGCCCGCGCTGCCCAGGGCCGCCCGCGGCCTCCTCTCGCTCCGATTCTTTCCTTCCCTCCTTSGTTCCCTCACTCCCTGCACGGTCCCCGCCGACAGCGCGCCCCTGCGGTGAGTGGGAGCTGCCCYGGGCCCGGCGCGGTGGGTCTCGGGGTCGGGGCAGGGCCCGTCACGGGGGCTCTGGCGGGCCCGGGGGGAGATTGCGAAGGGTTCCCCTTCTTCCCCGAGGGTCTGGGCTCTGCCGGGCCTCTCGAGAGGCGGCCGTGCTGCTGAGCCTGTGTAAGGAGCGGCAGGACCTTGCCTGATATCTCCCAGTCCCAGGCGTCTCTCCGCTTCTRGGGCTTAACTGCAGCTCCTGAAACCGCTGTTACCGACTCAGCCCTCCGGCAGTGTTTAAATGGCTCTGGGTGGGTCGGTAAGAGCCTGGAAACCTTCAGTGGTCCTTGAAGGACGTAGTGATGCCSTCTGTATGCATATCTGCTCGTAGAAGTGATTTCAGGGAGAGGATATTCGTCCTCCTCTGTTTGCCAGGATAGTTCCTTTTTAATTTTTTTTTCTTCCCTTCTGTTAGAACTGCATTTTCCTTCAGGCATACAAGCGAGGTGTGCTTGCTAGAGATGGGCCTGAATGTGCCAGTTCGCTCTTGCTTTCGCTATAATGGGGGCCAGAACRGTCCAGAAATAGGCTGCGTGGAGAGGCCGGGAACAGTTTAGGTTGTAAGGAATTCCAGCTCTAGCTGGGTCTGAAGTCTCTGCAAATACACTTCTTGTTTTGGCATCAAAGTCGGGTGGAGATTAAAACCATAAAGGAAGGGGAAAGAAGTGGTGAAGGTCACTGTCTGTGGTAGTATGATATCTTGATAAAGAGCTGCTGTTCACATTTATTTTTCAGCTTGCTTTCTGTATATTAATGATCTTCGTTTTCCTGTTAGTCTGTGTATGTGGTTTTAATTTACATACTTAGGGTTTTTTCCCTGAAGTTGTAGTTTGCATGTTTCTAATGTCTAAATACTCCTAGACAAATACCTGAAGGAAATCAGTCCTTATGTGTGGGGGTGAGAAGGGTATTTTAACTCTGGAAAGAGGATTTGGAGAGAAGACACCTTCTCTTACCTGTAGGGCTACTTGGATGTTGCAAAAGAGCCACCTAATTCAATAACTTAATTTCATTGTTCAAGGTTTCACAGGTCTGGGAGTTATTTAGTAATGATCTATGTCTTTTATTTTAGTAAACTTGTGATTGGTTATAGTTGAGTGTGTAGGTATGGCTTATTTTTTT